CCCCTCACGCCCCACTCCTTCTTGCTGCCTCCCTACCTCCTCCCTAGCACCACTGCCCAGAAACCCATCCATCACACACTATGCAACACAACCCGTGACATCCCATCTGGTCCTGGGGGGCTCCATGCGGGAGTAGTCCTCAGGGGGGTCTCTGTAAGGCGGGGGGGGGGGCGAGTCCCAGCCTTGTTCCACCCCTTCGTGCCCCTGCTGTTGCTCTGTATCATCTCCCATAGCCCAGCCTCACCTTTCTATGCCCCAACCCCTCTCCCTGAGGTGCCGGGAGCTTTTTTATGCAACAATTCCTATGCAATCTACAGTTATTCTTGCTAGACTGGCAGCCATGGCCTGCTCAGCCCCCTCCCAACACAGTGGGGCCTGGAGGAGGGTCAGACCTGGAGGGGAAGGGATAACCAGCACTGGGCCCCAACCCCAGATACCCCCCTGCAGCACTACCCCACTTGTCAGCAGGGTGGGATAGCGGGCAGATACAGGGTCATATCGACCAGTCACTGCATTCAAGGGTCCCAGAAACTGGTTGGGGGGCGGTATTTAACTGAGGGGTAGGAGGCTGGCTGTAAAGGCAACCACTCCCTCCATATGCATGTCTTGGGGGAGGGGGGGGTTTCTGACAGCAGGTGTCTCTTCCCCCTACCCCCCAACCCCCTCCTGGATCCCCACATTAGACTTGCCTCTGGACTGTCTTTCCCCTGCCCCTGGCCCTATAGGGGGAAGGTGGTGTGTGTGTGTGTTGGGGGGGGGCGGTTCCTTTGTTTTTTTGCACTTTAACTTGACCCTTTGTGGGGGGGTGTTGGAAATCAGGCTGTGAGATGTGTTATGGGGTGGGGGCTGTTTTGTGGAGCTAGGCAGTGACAAGGTGGCAGTAACGCCTGGGATGAGGGGGCAGCAATGGAGTTGGATGGGGGTGCTGAACCCGCATCTCCCAAGGCACCCCCCCTTGTTTGGGTCCAGTTTCCCCCAGCCCCCAACAAGCCCAGTGCAAAGAGGCCAAGGTTGCAATGTCTTCCACCAGCGTGTGCCGGGGGGTGGGGGGGCATCTTAGACTCAGGAAGGGGGGGACAGGGTGAGGTGGGGGGGCAAGACACCCAATTGTCCCCCAAGCGGGGCAGGTGCAACAGGCAGCTTGTGTCTGGAATGGTGCCAAAGTGGGGTGGGGGGGTCCCCCCTATGGGGGCAGGAAATGGGGGTCCCCATGAGGGATGGATAGCAGGTGTCCCATGTTGGGAGGAAAAGAAAGGGGCATGATGATGCTGGGGAGTCCTCTATGGAGGATCCCCCTAGGGATGATGTGGGGGGTCCCCCTATGGGGGATTCCCCCAGGGATGATGCAGGGGGGTCCCCCATGGGGATCCCCCTGGGGTGGGGGTTGGGTGGGGGTGGGGGGAGGGCACAGAGCTATTTTTTCACACAGTGACGGCAATGTTTTATTTTCCAGCCCCCCCTCCCCCCCATCCTTGGCTTTACCCCCGTTGTCACGGCAACGCACCAGCTGTAATGGAGGTGGGGGACTTGCCATGGGGGGCAGGGGAAGGGCTCAGATTCCCCACCAAAACAATTTAGCCAGGCTGCAGCCCATTGGGGCAGGGTGAGAGGCAGGATTGTAGCTGGGGTGGTGGGGTGTGGAGAGAGAAATTGGCCTTTTTAAGGGGGGGGACACGATCCTGCCCTCCTCCCCGCAAACCCCACCTGGACACCTGGGTTCCAGCCTGCCCCTCCCCACTCCCACCTGTGGCAGGTCCTTCCTCCAGCTCCCACTATGTGCCAAATGTCTTTGGGGGTGTCATGGCGGGCAGGGGTGGCAGGGTGAGGGGCTGGGTAATGTTATGTTTATGTGTCCCCCTCTTCTGCACCCCGCTGCTGTTTTCCTCCTCTTACCCCCCCATAGCCCCTCCCCCATGTCCTCTGTCACCTGCTACCCCCTTCCCCACCATACATCCCCTGGGGGGCGCTCCTGGCAGAGGGGGGGTGTGGGGCATTGGAGGTGCCCTGAGCGAGGCCTGCCTGGGCAGTGCCAAGGGTAGGGGCAGGTATGCCACACGGGCCCAGTGGGGACACGCACACATAGGCCATGCCTGCACGCACCATGCCTGTGGGACATGTGGGCATGGGCACTTGCACACACACACACATCAGGCATGGACACATACACATGCGCACACACACATAGAGGCATGGACACGAGGGAGTAACACAGGCATGCACATACGCATATAGACACACACACAGAGATAATACAGGGGTGTGGACACAGGTAACACAGCCAAATGCACACACACAAGTGCCCACAGGGAACATACACAGGCATACACACATGTGCACCCACCCAGACATACACACACACACACAGCCCTTGGCTCCCAGCCCCAGGCACTCCTCCCCGCAAGTTCTAGGCACCCCCTAGCCCCACTCCCTGCCACTGCTCCCCCACAGCTCTGCCATCTCACACTGAAAGCAATAATCCCCCCAGGACCAGAGCATATGGTTGGGGGGAGGGAGCAGACCTGGGGGCAGCCTCCATGGGCCAGCAGCAAGCAGGGAAGGGGAGCCCCCCTACAAGACACCCCCTCTCCCCCAGGCCTCTGGCCACCCATCTGTCCATCCGCTACCCCATCTGTCTGTCTGTCCAGCCACCCATCACCCCATCTCTGTCTGTCTGTCCACCCCACTCCCCACACTGTTGACGGACAGCACCGGCCCCAGTTCTGTGCTCAGGGCTGGGCCCACAAGGCGGGGGTCACTTCTATCGCTGTCCTTTCCTTCCCCCCTTCCCCATTTCCCCCCTTCCCCACCCCCCGCATCCTGCCCTGGGGTCCCCGCCTGCGTGGGGGCGGGGGGCCACGGGCTGCATGGCTGGCCACGCCGGGAGTTACAGCATGAAATAAACAGAGCCTTTTCATGGAAACCTTTCACCCCGGCCTCTGCACTCTCCTTGGGGCTGAGGGAAATGGGAGTGAGGGGCTGTGGGTCAAGAGTAAGTGGCACCAGCAGGGCTGGGGTGCAGAGGGCTGTGGGTCAGAAGTGAAGGGCACCCCCACCATAGGCTCACCACCCCTGTTCTGCTCACGTTCCCCTCCACCTGCCCAGCGTCTTTGCGCTCCCTTCTTTAGCAAACTCATTTCAGGCCTTTAATTAGGTTCCTGCCTTGGTGCTGCTGCATCTGTGGCACAGGAGGCTGTGGGCACCTGGCCCACTCCTGGCATAGGACTGGAACCGGAGATGGGCCCTGCCAGCCAAGACCACCCCCGCACAGGCAGTAGGCAGAGGAGACCCAGCCAAGTGGCACCCCTGCAGGCTGGGCTAGAGCAACAGCCTCCAGGAGTTGTGGGGGGAAGGGGGGCTGTTGTGTCCTGTACCCAGCTCAGCTGCAGGCCCCAGCCACCTCCTGCCCCCATGAGCCGCCTTCTCTCAGCACCATTCACCCACCCCCCTGTAATGAGGGGTGGATCCTGATCACAACTAGGGTGGCAGAGAATCCAGGAGTCAGGGCCTGCTCCATCCCACCAGACCCCTCCTACCCTCTAAAGCTGGGAGAGAACCCAGAGGTCCTGGAAAGAGCCAGTGGCTGGGTGGAAGGTGTTGCCAGCTGGGAGCTGTATTTCAGTGCTGCCTGCCCCACTTCCATGTGTTGGCTGCTAATTAGTTCCCTGGCCCTGAACTGGGGGGTGGAGGGAGATGTGCTGGCAGCACCAAGTCCCTGGGGGGTCCTGCCCTCGTTTCTTGCCCCCATTCCCTCCTCACAAGGAAGGGATTGAAGCCCCCCCCACAATACCCCAACTTTGGGAGCAAAGAAACACAGCTAAAGACGGGGATCTCTACCATGCCTCCACTCTGCCCCAGAACCAGGGGTACTGACAGGGCTGATGTGGAGGGGCAGGGGGCTATGGGTTGAGAATGAAGGGTAGCGACAGTACTGGGGAGCACAGCAGGCTGTGGGTTGGGAATGGAGGGCACTGGCAGGGCTGGGGAGGGCAGGGGGCTGCAGATCAGGAGCGAGGGGCAGCAGCTGAGCTGTGCACTGGATGTGGGAGCCTCTGAAACTACAGCCCCCACTCCATCCATCCGATAGTCTGCCCCTGCCAGGGGTGGGGGGAAAGCAGGTGGCCCCATGGTACCCACTGTGTCCCAGAGAAGTCGGCCAGGTCCCAGGGGCTAGAGCTGGTTGTGTAAAGGTGTGCATGTGTTGGGGGGGCAGGGTGAGAGGGAGGTGTTGGCAGACAGAAATAGCCCAGGCTGCAAGGGGGAGGTTGTCCTGGATTCTCCAGCCTAGGGTGTCAGGGGGTGCCGGTGTCAGTGCTGGTGCCAGTGCCTTTGCCTGGGCAGACAGAAGGGGAAGATGGGTGCGGACCCTAGTATCTAGCTATGCCCAGCACCCTGGCCCAGGGCAGAGGTAAGAGGAAGGGGAGTCCCCTCCTGGCACAGGGACATGGCCTCTGCCCCAGGTGCTCCCCCACAGTCCAACCTTTTACCCCAGCACTGACAGAGATAGGGGCTGGCCTTACATAGGAATACTGTGTGTTGTGGGGGAATCTGCACCCCTGAGCCAGCCAGCCCTCTTCCCCACAATGGAGGAGGGATGCTGGAAGGGACAGAAAGGGGTTCTGTCCTTGCTGAATTCTAACCCCCTCCCTTCCCCTCCCCGGGCTGGGAAAGAACCCAAGTGTCTGGGCTCCCTAACACCCTAGCTCTAACCCACAAGCCCCTACTACCCTCCTAACGCTGGGATGAAAACCGAGCATCCGGCCCCTGCCCTACCCGCAGCCAGCAAAAACCAATCGGAAGTACAAACCAAAACCAACAACACTTTGTATTTAATGCATGTTACAAAGAAAGCAAATGGGGGAAGGGGCTTTCCCCCCCAGGTCACATCCTGCCCCACTCTTGGGCAAGACCTGAGTCTCACCTACCCCTAAAGCAGGGGGGTGGAGGGGAGGGTTAAAGGGGCCAGGCCCAGTGACCCCCTCAGGCTGTCAGTGTTGGGAGCAGCCAGGCCCTCCCAGCTGCAAAAGGGGGTGCATGGCCAGAGCACCTCCTGCCCTCCCCCACTGGGTACGGGGAGTAGTTTGGACCCCAGCTCCATCAAGCCCTTCACATCATACCAAGCTTACAGATGGGGCGGGCATAGTCCTGGGGGGAAGTCAGACAGATGCTGCTCCTAGAGGCAGCTGCAATGGCCCAGATCCTGCCCCCCCTACTGGGGAAACACCCCTGTCAGCACACACAGGGCCAACAGTTGCCAAGGGGCTGGGTGAGGGCACTGGTGGGGGGGCAGTGTGTACTGAACCCAAGCATCCAGATTCCCAATGCCCTGGTTTCATCCCCTCCCACCCCACCGAGTGGGGAGAGAACCCAGGCATCCTGGCTCCCATGGCTGGGGAGGTACGGGCTAAGGGGCATCTTTGGTCTGCCTCCCAGGCAGAGGAGGGGACACAGCCTGCCCTGGGGCACTGTGTGTGTGTGTGGGGGGCGGGGGAAGAAGGGTGAACAGCACAGGTAGGTCACTAGTTCCTCCCCATGCAGGAAGATGTTGAAGTAAGGCCTCTGGGCCACAGGGCATGCTGGGAGACATGCCCTCAGCCCAGCCTCAAGTCATCCTGGGAATGAGGACAAGGCTTCCAGTGCATTCTGGGAATCATGCCCAAGCCCCAAGGCACACTGGGAGCTGCAGCCAGGCCCCAGGGCACGCTGGGAGCTGCCCCCTGTCCCTAAGATGCCCCCTATTCTTCTTTGAGACCTTCCCCCCCCCCATCCTTCCCCCCTACTCCCCACAATTAAAGTGCATGTGTGAGCGACGGGCAGCCCCTCCTGGGTGGAGGCTCAGGGCGAGGGGCTCTGGCAGGGGCTGGGATCCTCGGTGGGCAGGATCTCAATGCTGCTGTCAGGCTGGCTGGGCGGGATGCTGTCAGCCAGCTCCAACTCCGGGGCCTGGCCAGGCGACAGCGGCTGGGGAGAGCTGGCAGGATCTGAGCTGGCACTGTGGGAAGGCGAGGCACCTGCACCCAGGCCCAGCAGCTCCTGCACAGGCCGCAGCAACTCCTGCAGGGATAGCGGGGTCAGCGCCTGCTGGGGGGTGATGATAGGGGAGGGGGCAAGGGGTCCAGTAGGGGGATGCCCAGGCTGGGAGCAAGGGCATGGGCTGAGCTAGGCCTCAGAGTTGGTCGTTAGGGGACTACAGATGACTAGCGTAAGAACCAGCTGGAATGGTCAGGGCCAGGCTGGGAAGGGGTATGGCGTCTAGGGGGGCATAGGGCCTGGGTGGGAGGGACACAGGCTCATCCTGGGGACAAGGGGCTAATGGGGCCTGGCCTGGGGGCTGGAGCCAGGCTTGAGCTGGGAGAACTGGGGTGCAGGGGGGGCAGGCTGGGGTCTCACCGGGGTGGCTGCCAACTGCCTGTAGAGTGCCTCGGCCCGGCACAGGATGTCATTCACGTTCATCTTCATAGTCAGCTCGTTGATGTGCTGTGAGGACAGGCAGCTCAGCAGGGAGCAGGGACCCTCCTGTACACTGAACTGCACTGGGGAGAAAGGGGGAGGCAGGGTCCCCTCCTTGGAGCTGCCCCCAGGCATGTTGTGGGGCCTGAGGATGGGACTGTGGGGGCATCACCAGAGCTGGAGCCTAGGGGCAACATGGGGCATAGCAAAGTTGAGGCTGAGCTCTATGGTGGGGTTCAGGGGCTGTGGAGTCCCAGAAGTGGGACCCAGCTGATCTAGGGGAGCTGGGGGGGAAGAAGAGGGGCCAGGACCTTCACCTTGAGGATCTCATTGAAGCCAAAGCCTGAGTTCATGAGGGCCTCGCGTTCTGAGTCCAGGATCCCGCAGGCCACCAACAGGTGGAAGCAGGGGCAGGGCAGCCCCGTCCACAGCACCTTGGAGGGCGGAGAAAGAGACTGGATCACAGAAAACCCCCAGAGCAGCCCACAGTCCCTATCCCAAAACCCACACCCTCTCTCCACCGACCCACGCAGACAGGGCTCACACCCTGCTGATTGCCCCCCTCCGAAGTCCACCTCACTGCCCATCCCTAGACAGTGCCCCCCACTCAGGGGATCTCATGCTCCCCACTTGCCTCCCAGAGCTGTAGCACATCAGTGAAGGCAAACTCCCGTTTGAACCAAATGAGGAGCCAGCGGAAGCAAAAGCAGAGGGTGCCAGACTCCTTGGAGTCTATGGAGAGCAGGGAGACAGGGATCAACAACTGGGTGCCCTCCCACCCTCCCAGGGCACCTGATCTAATCCTGGGGACCGCCCCCACCCTGCAGGTGGTGAGGGCTGGTCTGTACCCAGGAAGTCGCAAAGCAGGGGATCCAGCAGGCGCAGGAGCTGGGTGAGCTGGGCCAGCTGCCGCTTCATGCTCTCCTGGCTCTCCTCGAAGTTCTGGTGCTGTGGGGAGAGGGTGGTAAGTGGGGAGGGAGCCAGAGACACCCCCACCCACACCAGACACAGAGCTGCTCCCTGCTCCAGATACCCCCACCCAGAAGGGCCCATCTCCCATCCCACTGGCCAGAGCTGCTCCACCCCACCCCACCCCACCCCAGAGCCATGCATCCTGCCCCACTATATACTCATCCCTGAACTGAGCCCTAACCCACAGCAGAACTGCCCCTTCCCACCCTACCTGGTCCCTCAACTGCCCCCTCAATCCCTGGCCTCACAACACCCAAGAAATGGCCCAAGGCCCATATCCACCCCCTCCATGTCCAGGCTCTGCTCCTCCAGCAGCCCCCAATCCCCTGCCTTCATTTCTAGATGCCTGTGAGGGCCATAGAGTAAGACACCCCCAACCAAACAGCAGCCACAACCTGTCCCCCACCCCAGCATGTCCGCAAGCCCCTCACCACAAGATCCATGAAGCCGGAGAAGCACCAGAAAGCATCAACCTCATTCTGTGTTACATACAGCACTGGCGACAGCAGGTCGCTCATGCCCTGCACGTACCCTGGGGGGGCAGCAGGGGTCAGAGACATGGGCACCCACCCTGTCAGCCTCCTCCCCCCGACCCTGGGCACCCATGATCCTCACCAGGCACCCCTGTTCCCTGCCTAAGCACCCTGACTGATGCTGAGACACTCATCCTCACTGCAGGATGCACCCCCCCCTACATGCAACAGGGGTACCCATTTCCCCAGAACAAAGCTGACTATGTGGGGCAGTGCCAGCTCCCCTCACCCAGTGCTAATCCTAGAGTGGCAGTACATTTATTCCTCTGCCCCTACTCAGACCCCACAAGGCCCACAGAGAAGAGCAGCCTCCGCTCCCATATCCGCCCCCAGCGAAGACCCCCTCAACAGCTCCCATGACACCCTCTTGAACAACCTAGTGACTCCTACACCCTTCACCTGACTCAACCCTGTTCTCACCCCTTTTATCCATGGGGTAGGCAAATGTGGGGCCAACTTTTTTGGCAGGCAGGCCATGAATTGGCTCTGCACCCTCCTCAGGTGCCACTCTGATCCCCTTACCCTGCCCGCTCTGCTTGCTGCTCCCTACCTAACCAGCTGCTCTGCTTTCCACTCCCTATCCAATCGGCTGCTCTGCTTTCTGCTCCCTGCCCTGCACTCCCTGCTCAATCTACCACTACATTCTGGTCCATGCCTTGTTGCCTGCTCCCTGCCCTATCTGCCACTGTGATCCCTGCCCCCATCCTGATGTGCCCATGCCTCAGGTTGGCCATCCCTGAAGTAAGCTATGAGTGTGCCCTGACCCATGCTCCCCTGCCCCTGGCACCCCCCAACTCCACCTCCCTCACTCTACCTCCCTACTGCATTGAAGCTGCAATGCAGTAGGTCATAAGTATCCCTGCCCAGGGGCAAAGCTGTCCACAGGTCAGCCCACAAGTGTGCCCCTCCTCCCCCCAGCCCTGGCCCCTCACCCAAATCAAAGTTGTACATGCAGTACGTCATGAGGACATCATTTAGCAGCACCAGCCCTGGGTTCTCACTGCCTTCGTAGAATTTGTTGTTGCGGTCAGTTCGGCTCACGTCCCGCTCTGGGGATGAGGGGGTGGGCAGTTATCAGCTGGGAACACACTGTGGGGGTGGGGCACTGGTGGGGCAGGGATGGGAGCCATGGGACTCAGTTTCTCCATGAGGCAGATGTAGGGGGGTTGCAATGGGGGAGGGGGTCCCCTGGAGACTAGCCTGGGATGGAGGGGAAATGTAGAAACCAAGGGCTGAGACTAAGAGCACAAGCAGGGACCCCAGAGGGCACAATATCCCATCCCCTGCCCCCACCCCAGCCACAAACCCACACACCTCCTGATGCATCGTTACCAATGGGTGAAGGGCTTGAAGAAGGGCTCAGTCTGGGAGCTACACCCAGGACCTGCCCATAGACAGGGCACTCTGGGAGGGCTGTGGCAGAGGGTGTAGCAGGCTGCAGGGCAGTAAGGGCTATATGGAGGGGAGTGATTATGGCCTGGGCACCCTTCACTAGGGGGCTGGGACAGGGGTGAGGACACTGGTAGGAGAAATAAGAAAGGAGTCCAAAGTCCACACATAATGCATGGGGTAAGAAGAGCAGAAGCTTTTCTCACCACCCCACAACCAACACATAAGAGATGAGTGTGACCCCTCCCACGCAAGCATGGGGGTGGTGGGGCTGGGGGCAGCCACAGGCCAGTTGGGGGGGCTCCTGGAGTGGGGGGCACTCATGAGTCCCCAGCCATGCCAGAGTCCCTCACTCCTGACGTGCAGCCCCCTGCCCCTCCCCTACACCAAGCCCTGGCAGTGGGGCAGGGGAATCACCCTGGGCAGGGTGGCTGGGCCTACCAACCGATGAGGCTGCGATAGCCACGCAGCAGGGAGTTGCGCTGCTCCTGCTCCTCGCTCACCGACTTCCACTGCAGCTTCATGCGGAAATATTCATCCCTGGGGGAAGCAAGGGACAAAGCCTGACTTACAGTTCTTACCAGCAGCCCCCTCACTCCCAACCCACAGCTCCCTGTCCCACCACAGCCCTGCCAGTGCTCCCTTCACTCCTCACTTGCAGCCCCTGTCCTGCCAACTCTGCCAGTGGCCCTCACTCCCAACCCACAGCCCACTGCCCTGACAAGCCCTACTGGTGTCCTTCACTCCTGACCCACAGCCCCACAACCTGCCCTGGCCATGACCCTCATCCCTGCACACACTCACGTTTTCCGGCGGACATGAGCTCGGTTCTCCTCGCTCGTGTTATCCCAGCTGTAGTAACCCAGCAAGTACTTCCATACGTCCTTGCGCAGCCCTGTGCTGAGGCCCTGCAGATGGGGAGGAGACAGGGGTGAATGCCACCACAGCTCCCAGAAGGGGACACTGACCCCCACTGCAGCCCCAGACCCCAGAGGGACTTATAAGGCCCCAGCCTCAGTCACACTCCCACTTAGAACCCTGCCCACCCCAAATATGCCCACCTTCATAGCCATACCACTCCTAGGGCTCCACCCAGCCAGCCAAGCCCCTCCCACTGACTGAGGCCCCACCCCATCACACACACCCTAGGATCCCTATTAAACCCCACCTTTGGCTACGCACCTCTCCAGCCTGTGCCCCACTCACCCCAGCAAAGATGCGCCTGCGAAGCCTGTCAACATTGGTGACGCGCCCCTCAGGGTCTAGGTGCTGCTCCCATTCCAGCTCCGTCACTGGGGGCTCCCGCTGCACCACTGGTCGCTCCCCCAGTTGCACCTGCTGTGGGCACGGCTGGAGGTCACAAGTGGCATGGGAAGATCCAGTCCCTTCTGCCAGTCACACACCCCCAGGTCTGAGGGAGCTGGTTGGCTGGCACCATCCCTAGCCATGCCCCCACTGGAGAGCCAACTGGCTGGCACTATCCCCATCAGCCATACTCCCACTTGCTACCAAGTCTGCCCATTGGCTGCATGGCCCCCACCAGCCATGCTCTTGAGAGCTAAGAGCTGATTGGCTGGCATCCCCTATCAGCCACGCCCCTCCCACCTGCCAAGGGAGCTAATAAGCTGCACTGCCCTCTACCAGGCATGCTCTCTCCTGCTGAGAGAACTGACTGGCTGACACCAACCTCATGAGCCAAACCCCACCTGCTGAAAGAGCTGGTTGCCTGCACTTCCCCTGTCAGTCATTTGCTCCCCTGCTGATTAGCTGGCACCCTCCATCAGTCTCTCCCCACCTACCAAGTGAGCCCATTGGCTGGCACTGCCCTTACCAGTCTCACCCCCATCTGCCAAGGAAGCCCATTGGCTGGCACTGCCCCTCTCCACCAGGAATTTTTCCGCTTG